TCAGTCTGACTCTATGTCATCAGAATCTGACTCTGAGGAAGCGTAATGTGGATATTTAAAAATGAATGGCTGTAGATGTGACTTACAAAATATTAATGATATTAACAATAACAGGATTATGTTTTTATTCATTTTGAATTCACTTTAAATCTATTGTAATTAATGTCGTATACTCGTACAATTTAAACGCTTTAATATAAATAAAAATATACAAAATAAAATTCAAACATTGTTGTCGTTCTGTCGATTGTCGAACTTTTTCCTAAAAAGCGTTCCTAACTTAGTGTCACGTGTTCACAAAGCGCGCGAAATTGCGCAATAACAATTGACGTCATTTACAACAACAAGCTTTCGAATACATGACTAGTTTGGCTGTTCTTTCAGCGTCGTGTGTGTCCAAATTCGTCAAAGATTTTGATGAAGCCCTTTCAAAATACTGTTTGTTTGATTTATTTTCTTCCATAAAGCATAAAAGAAAAGAAATTCGAAGAAATCGATAATGGAATTTGTTACGTGCGTTTGACCTTTATATTAATTTTCGCCTTGACCGAGCTATTTTTAAAACTGTTGTTTATGTGAACTTGCAACCAATCAAAATCCTTCATGATGCTGATCAACCAATCAGATTTCCCGTCCACCAGGTGGACGGGAATCCCACACTTTAGATAGGTTTTGTGTCAGGCCCTATTCTGTGATAGGGCCTGAACTTCAGGTTACATCTCACCCAAAAATAAGAGTCGTAGTGTATTTTGTTAATTTTTAATTAATTTTTAAAGATTTTTTCTATTTTCCCACTCCTTACGAAATTGGAGCCAGGCATTAATGCACCTGAGAGTTACTGTAGCCAATGTTGGGAACCAAACGGCTGCTAAATTTAAGCTGACGGGCTTGACAGCTGCTTTTCCCCGACAGACTTTCGCGAAATGTCCCTTCTTTTAGCACTTGTGGCAAGTAAATGTCGAGCGTAAATTTCATTAGTTGGTTTGACAAACAAGGCTTCCAAAATTGCGATAGCTGCAGTGTAATCTTCACTATCCTCGATGTACTGAAAGACTGTAGGTGATACAAAGTTCGTTAACACACCGAATTTATCCAATCTTTCCCTTGGCAACACCGATAGGAAATTTTCAAATGTTCGTTTCCAATGCTGCCATTCGGTTGCCGCCGTGCTACTGTTAGGATCTGTTTCTAAGCGTTCAGGACGTAATACTTTATCCATAGTTTAAGTTGAATAAATTGTTGTGAGAAAACTACGAAAGATGCCGTTATAATACCTGTAGGCTTTATTACTCCGGGTACTGTAAGTACCGGAGTATTAAAATGGCCAATCTTTCTTCTTAGGCGACGCAAGTGTACACTTCCACAGTGCACCGTACGTAACGCACGCAACGCACTACAAAAATACGAAATATCTAAAAATAGCCGCCATTCGTAGTAGATCAGAGCGAGCGTTGTGTTTAGCTGTTTACAATGTATTTAGTTCTATTTACAGTAAATATTATCAAATGGAGGGGTTCTCATACACTCGTTCTTATACAATGACCACAGTTCATATAAATACAAATCGAAATTCGAGACTTTCTCGCGTGTTTAGTAGCGGTTGCCGTTATTGGAAAGCTAATTCTGATCGACAACTGGCTTGGTTCGTTACTGACGTTGGCCCGGTATTTTTAATTTTGTCAACACTGTACGTAGTTAAATTGTGTTAACACTCGTCACTCGTGTTCTTTAAGTCTCCCTAATTTGTGCCTCGTGGCCAAAATTGAAGTACAAACAACGCACAAATCTATTCGACATATGACATATCTGAAAGACTTCGATTCGCGAGGCAATTTATATCGCAAACGACAACAATATTGGCAATATTGTCTACCACGCTTGAATTAGACAAAAGCGCGTATAAAATATATATAACTATAGATAGCTTTACCCAACACTATCACTTCTATTACACAGTTTAATGTTTTATTTATAGAGTACTAAAACTCGGTCTCGACAGCTGCATTGTCTTGGTCTTAAAGTAAAATCATTACTAGAACAATCTAAACGTTTGATAATAACAAACTTACAGAAGCCTTACAAATTAAAACAATCAATCTGTATAAACAAAATATCAACATAACTTGGTGCCAGTTATAAAGTTACTACCATGCATTGAAAAAGTGTTGACAATTAACTATATGACACGACTAACAATATATTACTTTTTAAATAATTTTCTTTGCGTGTTTGATAAATGTGGTTTGTTTACGTTAGCTATTTTTAGTAATTCAGTTTCAGGAGTTCTTCTCGAGGGTCGAGGGTGGGAAGCGAGGGTCGAAAAATCATATATAAAAAAGTCGAGGGTCATATATAAAAAGTCCGGGGTCGTATTTCTAAAATATTTTATGTTTTTTATTGTCGAGGGTAGAAATTTGCGGGCATTCCCTATAGGTAAATTTGCAAGTGGGGCAAGCACAATAGCGAAAACAATACTTTGAAGATGGCGTCGCGAACCCGGAAAAGGCGTATGGCAATGGAAAGGTGTAAACAAGTCCTGATTACTTTGATTCAATAGACCATATAGACTGATACAATAATTTGCGACATGCAATCCGAGATAACGCAGATAATGCACCACGCCGTTTGAAAATATCTCGACTGTCGCTTTTGATCGGCATGTCTATTTTTATGTAGTAATATTTCGTCATATAAAAAGTAATCGCATATAAAAAATTAATAATTGCATATAAAAATAAGAGCTAAAAATTAAAAGTAAAGTAAGTGAACACGAACTTAAATTATTATTTTGTTAGATTATTAAAATGTAGCCTCAAGCTTTTCACCCTCGAATTTCTACCCTCGACAATAAAAAACCCCATAAAATAGTGTAAAATACGGCCTCCGACTATTATATACGACTTGAAAAAACACTCCTACGCATTTTTTAAATAGAACTTTTAATAAAGAACTAGATAGCTTTTATTAGAGATAATTAGTGTCACAATATCCTTTTATTTTTATGTTATAAAATATTATGATCATTGCATATGTTTTTAGTCACCTGGTCAAGTAGTGTAGTTCTCCCACTTTTCCAACTTTAATATGCTAAATATCATGCATTAAAGATACCTTCATTGCCGTATAGAAGCATACGTTAAAGTAGCTTTGCGCTTAGTTAAGGCCCTGTACCCGGAGTGAACGCCTGAGTAGGCGTCTTGTTCAACTTAAAATTGTACCTAACATTTTACAAATATGGCGGTCGAGATAATGTTTACATTCTGTGGGTCATACGCTGACCTTTATACTCTGGCACAGAACATATATTAAATATTCATAACACAAGTAAAAAGTAAAGATCGTAACCATCTATCACCCCGAATTTAATGCGAAACACGTGAATTTATAGAGAAACACGTGCGTTGCTTCATAGCTCGTATTCCAGCGTGTTCCGGGTGGAGTTCCGGGTGTTCTGGGTGGGGTTCCGGGTGTTCCGCGAGGGGTTCCGGGTGTTCCGGGAGGGGTTCCGGGTGTTCCGGGTAGGGTTCCGGGTGGGTTCCTGGTGTTCCAGGTGGGGTTCCGGCTTTTACAGACACCCCTGACACAAAACCTGTCTAGACCGTGGGACGCCCACATGTTATTTTTAGACACACATGCAATATGATTGACAAGTGTTGTAGATTTCGTTACACAAAAAATTTATATTCTCATGAACATGTCCGCAGAGCATTTTGCTTTTTAATTAAACTTAAAAATTCAAGGTACTTTTATATAATTAAGAGTCAGTTTCTCTATTTAACCGAACAGGTGAACAGCAAACAAAGATTTAATTAGTCAGTTCTGTGCACGGCTTGACTGCCAAGCTTTCTCAAGGTCTCAACTTGCTGGACGCGGATCATCAGTACTCTAACGACTAACGGGCTAACAACAGCAACAATTAAAATTCTCAATCATACCACGAAGAAGGCGATGTAGCTCAGAAAACAACGCCGGCAGGACCTGATATTAAAAATAAGACTTTTGCTGGCGAAGCAAGTTGGCAGAACATCTCAGTTGGCTGTCAACAACAAGCTTTCGAATACATGACTAGTTTGGCTGTTCTTTCAGCGTCGTGTGTGTCCAAAATTCGTCAAAGATTTTGATGAAGCCCTTTCAAAATACTGTTTGTTTCATTTATTTTCTGCCATAAAGCATAAAAGAAAAGAAATTCAAAGAAATCGATGCGTGCGTTTGACCTTTATATTATTAAATTCTCGCCTTGACCATAGGCAGCCCAGCAAAATGTGTAAAAATGCATTAAACGCTTAAAAATACGTATAAAGTTCGTCACAATTTGCTATCAAGCGATTTATTTGTGTAGCTCATTATACATGCAGATTCCGATGTTTACGTCATTGTATTTTCATATAGTATATTATCCTAAGGCGGTCAACTCTTTTACAAAAACATTTACACACACTAATACGCTCGCTTCAAACAACAACAAAAACCGCTACTTTCTGAAAACAAACTACATACAAAACACCTTGGATATTTTTTCTAACTTTATTCAAACTTTTTAGAGTTGAAAAAAGTTTAGAAGTATTTAAATTTCATGGATAAAAAGTGGGTTTTTATCGAAATTATTTTGTCGATAGGCGGGATGCAAAATGCACGACAAACGTCATCATCGGAAAAATCATCGGCTTGTTGCTTATTGGCTGTTGAAAAATCGGCAAATTCCGAATATAATATACTTCAGTCAATGAACTTTCTTCGGAATTTGCCGATTTTTCAACAGCCAATAAGCAACAAGCCGATGATTTTTCCGATGATGACGTTTGTCGTGCATTTTGCATCCCGCCTATCGACAAAATAATTTCGATAAAAACCCACTTTTTATCCATGAAATTTAAATACTTCTAAACTTTTTTCAACTCTAAAAAGTTTGAATAAAGTTAGAAAAAATATCCAAGGTGTTTTGTAGGTAGTTTGTTTTCAGAAAGTAGCGGTTTTTGTTGTTGTTTGAAGCGAGCGTATTAGTGTGTGTAAATGTTTTTGTAAAAGAGTTGCCCGCCTTAGGATAATATACTATATGAAAATACAATGACGTAAACATCGGAATCTGCATGTATAATGAGCTACACAAATAAATCGCTTGATAGCAAATTATGACGAACTTTATACGTATTTTTAAGCGTTTAATGCATTTTTACACATTTTGCTGGGCTGCCTATGCCTTGACCCTTTGGCCTTGACCGAGCTATTTTTAAAACTGTTGTTTATGTTAACTTGCAACCCAGGTAACAATAACACCGAAATGACCAGCATGCTTTGCGGTCGTATAGCGCACACCACCTGCTTGCAACCAATCCAAATCCTTCATGATGCTGATCAACCAATCAGATTTCCCGTCCACCAGGTGGACGGGAATCCCACAGTTTAGATAGGTTTTGTGTCAGGCCCTATTCTGTGATTAGGGCCTGAACTTCAGGTTAACACTGGACTGGACTATGGACTTTGGACTTTCGATTTTGAAATTATATTATTTTTAGATTTTCGTATAATTATATTAAAATCTAAACAGAGAACGAAAAATTGCTGCTGAAAAGCGTGCTACACTGCATGCACATGCATGATATAATATACAAGGTAAAAAATACTCAGTATCGGTTATATAGGTATACCAGCAGTGCAATTTCATACGGATATAGCCAGTAGGATAGCAGGATTATCCAATATTCTGGGATTTAATATTTAAATTTTATATAATATTTGTATTTATAGTATGCTTAGTACAGTTTATACTGCAGAACTTCTTCTTTATCATATAGATAATAGATTAATTGTGTCAGAAACAATTGTGACAAAAGTGTCTGGCAAATACAAAATATTAACTATATACATATTATATATAAATATTAACTAAGTGATTATTATTGCGCCTATTGAGTATTGTATTATGTATCTAGTCGGCTGTTCATCTTTGCATATTAGTTTATACTAGTACTGTATTGTGTAATTGTTTACTCCGTTACACAGTAACGTTTTGTTAATGTTACTTATTTTTGAAAGACATTCTAGTTAGCTATCCTTATCACTATAAGTGCTTCAGTTATTATTAATAAGTGTCAGTAGATGGACAGGAATATTCGAACGGAAATTTACACACTTTTTAAGACCTACTCAGTTGTGTGTGAGAAGGCAAAATTCTATGTCTATGTGCTTCAGGTAGTCTAGCAACTATTTGTCACGTTTACT